AAACTGCGCCCTTGGCCCTCGGTTTACAACAGCAGCGGTTCCTGCCTGATACTTCCTCACAATTTACTTCCGAACCGAGCTTTCGCGCAGGACGTCCTCACAGTTTTCGACAGGAGTTGCGCTGACGCGTGGGGCTTCTTCACAATTTATTCAGGCGCCGCGCCCTGGACACTCAGGAATCACGCTCTCGCTGTGGATTTCCTCATAAATTTGGGAATCGCGCTGTTGCTCTAGACTTCCTCGTTATTCATGCACGACGCTCGCTTCAGCAATCCGCATGCTCGACCTGGCCGCCTGGGCCTGCGTTCCGACCCGCCTGTCAGGTCTACCCGCCCGATCTGCCCGTCTGGTTCTGCCACGTGTTTTCTGTTCCTAGCCCCCCTCCTGCTCTCTCTCGTGCTCCATCCTCCTCCCTCTCCCTTTTTCCTTCCACCCGTCCTCTCTTCCCTTGCCTTAGGGGCTGCACGAGATACATGTTGCATGTGAGAAAGATATACTCCAAGGGGGTACGATCGAAGACGAAGAGGACGGGTATCGAGGGTTCGGGATATACGTGTTGACTGGCAGAGCTAACAGCTTTAATCAAATTAGAAGTAAGGTTATTCTTCATATTGTTGTCGTTGTGGTTGCTGCGTTCTCATTTCAACCTAGTAATTATTGCTGTTCCCTCCGGTAGCCACTGTTTTTTTTCCAATTGAAGTGCCCTTCACGAGACTCGCACCCTGCTTTTTTTAAGCAGGGAAAGCCTTGAGGGTCAAACCGGGCCCCTGGCTTTCGAGTTACAACAACAAGTCGAGAGCGTACAGGCCCTGCAGGATCTTTGTAGGGTCTCTTGAGGGACCCGAATTGGATCCTCACGGATCCTATAGGGGCCTTTCAGGTCCTTCAGGATCTCTATAGGGTCTCTATAGGGATCTTTCACGGATCCTGTAGGGATCCTATAGCGACCTATCAGGCGTTGCAGGACCTCTATAGGGATCGTATAGAGGGTCCTATAGGGATCCTATAAGGGGTCCAGAAGGGGTCCTATAGGGTCCCGATAGGGATCCTATAGGGATCCTAGCGGGATCCTGTAGGGACCGTTCAGTCCCTGCATGTTCTCTATAGGGTTCCATTCGGTTTCTATAGGGTCTCTATATGGTTGCTTCAGAGTCCCTCTAGGAATCTCTATAGGATCTCTATTTATATAGGGTTCCTAAGGGAACCCAGGGTTCCCAAAGGGGCCCTATAGGGATATCTATAGGGGCTCGATAGGGTCTCTTCAGGGTTCCTGAAGTGACCCTACAGGGATCTCTAGAGGAGTTCTTTAGTGTTCTTTGAGGAACCATCGAGGGATCTCTATAGGGTCTCTATAGGGTTCCGAGAGGGACCCTATAGAGACCCTTTTGAGATCCCCTCTAGGTCACTTTAGGAACCCTCTGGAGACCCTATAGAGACGAGGAGGAGGAGCCGGGGGATGATGATGATCATGATGATGCTGATACTGCTGCTGATGATGATGAGGAGGAGGAGAAGGAGGAGGATAAGGAGGAGTCGGAGTCGGAGGAGGAGGAGGAGGAGACGTCGGAGGAGTCGGAGGAGTCGGAGTCGGAGGAGGAGGAGGAGGAGAAGGAGGAGGTGAGGAGGAGGAAGGAGGAGGAGGAGGGAGGAGGAGGAGGAGGCGGAGGAGGAGGAGGAGGGGATGAGGAGGAGGAGGATGAGGAGGGAGGAGAAGGAGGTGGAGGGGGAGGAGGAGGAGGAGGATGGAGAGGAGGAGGAGGAGGAGGAGGAGGAGGGGAGGAGAGGAGGGGGATGGGTAGTAGGGAGGACGAGGAGAGGAGGAGGAGGAGGAGGAGGAGGAGAGGAGGAAGGAGGAGGAGGGGAGGAGTCGAGTCGGAGGAGGAGAAGAGGAGGAGGAGGAGGAGGAAAAGGAGAGAGGAGGATGGGGGAGGAGGAGGAGGAAGAGAGGAGGAGGAGGCGGAGGAGGAGGAGGAATCGGAGGAGGAGCAGAGGAGGAGGAGAGGGGAAGAAGCAAGAGGAGGATGAGGAGGAACAGGAGGCGGAGGCGGAGGCGGAGGAAGAGTCGGAGGAGGAGGAGGAGGCGGCGCAGGAGGAGAAGGAGTCGGAGTCGGAGTCGGAGGAGGAGAGGGAGGAGGAGGATGAAGAGGAAGAGGAGGAGGAGGAGGAGGAGGAGGAGGAGGAGGAGGAGAAGAAGAAGGACGAAGACGAGGACGAGGACGAGGACGAGGACGAGACGGACGACGACGACGCCGCCGCCGCGGCCGACAACGACGACGACGAGCCCCGGTGTGATCAGAAAACGGGAAGTGGTCCCAGGGAAGGGGTCGAAAGCCTAGGGCCTAAGCTCTTTGGCTTCTGTTGTAGGTTCCAGGGGCTTTGCACGGGGCTCTGCCAGAGTTTGTAAGGCCAAGGCCTGGCCAGGGGCATCGCGAAGGCGATGTGCCATCCAGGCTGGAGATGTTGAAGTGCCTCGGAAGTGGTGTTGTCAAGACCTCCTCGGTCGGGAGATCAGGGAGTGGGAGTATCGGCCCCCTGTCCAAGAACAAACCATCCTTATGATGGGGGAGCTATCATGATGAACGCATGCTGCATATAGAAGCATGCATCCCAAGGATCACACGCTGGTAGGGGTGGTGATAGTAGTAGTAGTAGTAGTGGTTGTCGTGGTAGTCGTAGTAGTAGTAGTAGTAGTAGTAGTGGTAATAGTAGTAGTAGTAGTCGTAGTAGTAGTAGTAGTAGTAGTAGTAGTCGTTGTAGTAGTAGTAGTAGTAGTAGGAGTAGTAGTAGTCGTAGTAGCAGTAGTAGTAGTAGTAGTAGTAGTAGTACTAGTAGTAGTCGTAGTAGTCGTAGTAGTAGTAGTAGTAGTAGTATAGTATGTAGTAGTAGTAGTAGTAGTAGTAGTAGTAGTAGTAGATAATAGTAGGTAGTAGTAGTAGTAGTAGTAGTAGTAGTAGTAGTAGTAGTAGTAGTAGTAGTATTAGTAGTA